TTTTTTTTAAATTTTTAATGCTTTCCCGCATCTATCGTTTTCCCGCATTCATCGTTTTTATTTCCCACCCCCGCTGAAAACGATGCATCGAGGTTTCACTGTAGTAACTCTTTTCACATGCAATTATACTCGGTGTTTTCTGTGAACTCGCAAGGCCCACATGAGATAGGAAAATTGAGGAACTTGTTTAACAGTAAAATTTCAATTTGATGTATTGTAGAGATGGTATGAAATATGTGCAGGTTGAATCAGACTGTAATTAGAAATGTAAGAGCATGCAGAGTATCAAATGCATGTATTTATTTATTTATGATTTATTTAATGATGCAGTCAGTCACTCTGATTTATTGCAGATAGCATGTTTTACTAATTGCTTAATTTACTTTGTGGCATTGTGATTCTTTGTACCCAGGTATCTATAAGAACTTTGAATGCAAGCTTTATAATTTAATTCTTTCAGAGACCTTAATGTTCCACCTGTGGTAAGGCCGAACCCAGACCCATGGAATTGGGGTTTGGAAGAATCTGGGATTTCAGCAACTTCTGAGCCATATAGCAACAACATTAGTGTCAATAACAATGCCTGCCTTGATCCTTCATGGGGTTGGTCTATAGAGAACACAGCAACTTACCAGGAACATTCTGTTCCAAGTACTAATACAAGTTATAGTTCAGGGCAACATGGGCAGAATTATGCCACTGTTCCTCTTCATCCAACTTTAAACACTGTGCCAGATGCTAAAATAATGACTCCCAGTACAGCAGACATTATATCTGAGTCATTCAGTCCAGTTTCTGCTGGCGAAACAGCGTTATTCCACAGTAATGCTTCACAACATCTTCAAGGTTCCTTTACAATGAACTATGAAAAAAATGATTCCAAAAGTCATCCAGCTGTTAACTCTGTAAGTCAGTATCCTCCAGTAAGTACAACATCTCATTTCAAACAAGATAATTACAGTTATGGATCTCGTGGTGCTGAAAGTGATTTTGGGCAGGGTTGTATGAATAATTTTAACATTTCTCAGCAACAGACTTATGGGGTAGTTGCAAGTGGTGAAAGAATAATGGATTCCCATGTAGTGACAGAAGAGTTACAGAATGTAGGAAATGTTAAACGAGACAGTCCTCAGTCATCTGTAGATTACTTCAGAAGAGATGAAGAATTCACAAATGTTTCTGTAAGTAGAAGTGATGTAAATGATGGGAGAGATGCTAAGGAAGAATTAGATTCATCAGCAAATGATGTTCCTGAGTTAAGCAGAGATAGCTCAAGTAGAGAACAAGATACAAGTAAACAAAATAGCAGTACGGGGAATGATGGCCTTTCTTCACAGTGGTCTGCTGAGAGTTTTCCAAGCTCTGAAGAGTTGTCTCACACTGTAGAAGGAAACGAAGTGGTTTCTTCTTACTTGGCTAAACCTGAGTCACCTTTAGCAACAGATACACTTCAGGTTAATCAGCAGAATGATCAAAATCATCAGAGTTATGGACATAGCATGTATGAATTTGCTAACAGTAGACACACAGAAAGAGCTGAGCAAGTTCAGTGCTTGAAAGATGTTTCAAATATCACTTCTGCTGATGAATCCAGAAATGTATGTAATAAAGGGTATCAAAGCTATCGTACTGGTTTTGATACTGTAAATCAGGCCACACGTGAGGCAGCAACATGGGAACAAGGTACAGGAAGTGGAGGGTGCAATCCAGTTGATACCAACTGTAATACAAAAGACCATGTGTCTGTTGGTGATAATGTTTCAGCATTGTCCTCCAACCTGTATGTGCATAGTGACTTATATACAAAACAGCCAGGATCTGTAGTGAATGTTGCACACACATCCACAGAAACCAATAAGACAGCATCGTCTGTAGAAAGTGTTGCCAGGGCTTTTGACAACTTAACTGTATCCTCAACTGAAAATTTGAGGTCCCTGGAAGTTGAAAATAAAGACATTGTCTGTCCTGAAACTGAAGAAAATTCAAGAGCAACATTAGCTCCTTCAGGACTTAGTAATCCATCTTATGGAAGTAATGTGAATTTAACTCCTCTGCTGGCATCATCTGGACCTCCAAAGAGAATTGGAATTGCTCAAGGAAAGAACAGTAGTTCACAGTTGCTGAACCAGAAGTTTGCAGATAAGTATCGAGCTAGTCCACCCAGTGTAGAAGGAGTAGTTGGTGGAATCGACAAGAGAAATTACAGTCATCCACGCATTCCATCAGTAGGGCCAACTGGACCAGCAAGACAGTTTGGAGTGTTACCAGACATGTCTCAAACTGTAAACCTTATGCAGGCAACATACAGTCACAGGACTGTGGAAACTCCAGGAAACTTTGTTATCAGAAAAAAGAACACCCCACCTCCTCTGATGACAGAAGATACAGTAAACTTGGAGACAGTACCAGATAATAAGGAGCGACCTGACTTCATTGATGTTCCTCAAGCAACACCTTCAACAAGATTACATGCATCTCCTGTTGGTCAGGTAAGCTAATGGTAGACATGCATTCTTTTAAAGGAAGTTTAGTATTTTTATATAATTTTAAGAGGTAGTTACAGTAAGATTTGAGGTTTTCACAGCAGTGAGTCTGAAGATTTCTGTCTTCTGGGTTGTTGCGCTGTGTAGTCTGGTCGATGTTAACCAACATTTCAGAGGTCTTACTGCCTCCGTCTTAAGAAAGTCTGTGCTTCATGGAGTTTTGTAATTTTAAGTGAGAAAGAATACACTTAATTTTATGTACTATCCAACGTTTTGTACACCACTTTTGTAAAATATATGGATTGTCAAGTTTTTTTTCTAGTTTTCCAGTGACAACCCTTCTTGTGCTATGTTCATCCCACTTACATACTGTAAAATATTGGTTGTGTTGGGAAGTATTCTTGTTTGATGTTTCAGGATGCAGTAAGAGGAATTGCATCTCAATGGACCCAGTCATCAAGTTACAGTACAAGTCCTGCAAACCAAGAGGTGGCTCCCCGTTGTGGGCCAGACCGAAACCAGTACCTTGAGACTGGTCAACTCACTGGTGATGAAAGAGATATTAGGTCATCAATGCCAGATGCTGTTGAAACATTGCAATCTCGAGTGTCAAGAAATGGTAACAGTAATGTTCCTATTGAAGGGATTTTGCCTCTGCTTGAATGTCATCGTATGGTTCCTGGTCAGATCACTGAGCAGGATGTTAGTACGAACGTGTATGAACTAGAGAATGTGGTTAACATTAGTTCTGCTAATAATTTAATTGAGGATGTTTCTACACCACCACCAGGCTTACATAGGATGGTTCCTGGGCAGTTTACTGAAAACGAAAATGCCATGATACAAATTGCAGATTCAATTCATAGTACTGAAAATCCATCAGATAACTTGTTGCTCCATAGAATGGTCCCTGGACAGTTGACTGAGGAAAGTGGTGGTGGAAGTTTTGTGTCCGAGGCGGAAAGTGTTGGGACAGTACCACCACACAGTTCTGTGGATGATATTCCACCACCTGGTTTGAGGAGAATGGTTCCTGGAGAATCCAGTAGCCCAGAAAGTCAGGGAAATGTTGGACAGACGAACATGCCGACAGGTACTTTCGAACCGATTGATGCACTTCCTTTGGAGCCAAGAGTTGTCACTGGAGTGGCACAAGATGAAATGGATGATGTGGGGTCTGCTGGAACGTTGCCATTGCCGGCGTCACCATGTATGTTGTTTGCATGTAATCATCTGCTGGTACAGTGCTACTTATATCCCATCTGACCTTTAACTAACTAACTGACTAACTAGATGGCTTACCGAACCCGAAGGTTCATCACTGAATTAACCAAAGCCCTCCACTGGACCCTGTCCTGGGCCAACAAAATCCAGTCTCCTTCAACTCCTGTCTCCTATAGATCCCGCCTGATATTATCCTCCCATCTATGTCTAGGTCTCCCCAGTGGTCTCTTACCCTCAGGCTTCCCAACCAATACCTGGTGCACACCTCTTGTCCCATCCATGCGCGCTACATGTCCCGCCCATCTCATTCTTCTCGACTTAATCACCCTGACAATACTGGGGGAGGAATACAGATTTTTAAGCTCATCATTATGCAGTTTTCTCCATGTCCCATCGTTTTCTCTCCTAGGCCCAAATATCCTCCTCAACACCCTATTCTCAAACACCTGCATTTACTTCCACTAAATGAAATTTACACTTTGCTAAGGGGCCCACCATTCCATTGAAATAGCCCTGTGTAGAAGGCATACAGCATGTAAGGGGAAATGAAAATGCATTCAAAAGTTTAGTTGTAAGTCAATGGAAGAAACCACTTTGGAAGCTTACTAGTTGATAAGAGTATAATATGCAAATATGTATATCTTATAGAAATTATGGTTTGGACTAACTCAGTATATGCTCCAGTAATGGGCTGTTGACCAATTGAGTGCCTATTTTTCAAGGAAGAGTCATCACCTTGGACTTTATTTAGGTAGTGTTAGGCATCTATATATGTACCATTAATGGCATTATGTAACTTTTATCTGAATTCCAGCTTTAGTGATGGCCACAGTTGATGTGATATGAGCACCAAAATTTTGTAGTGTCACAGGTTCTTCTTATGTAACGTGTAACAAGCCTTAGCTGAATCAAGATATCAACCCTGCATAAATATATGTCAGTAGTCAGTATTCTGTAACGGCTAATTGTAGGTTTTATGTTTGCTTTGTGAGTAACTCAGTCAGTATAGTGACTGGTTATGGACTGGATGACTGGGGTCTGATCCCAGATGGGAGCAGAGGAATTTTCCTTTGTCCAGACTGGCTCTGGGTCTCACCCAGCCTCCTACCCATTGGGTATCAGGGTCCTTTCCTGGAGGTAAAGCACAACTGGAATGTGATGCTGACCACTCACCCCCACCTAGTGCAGAGGTTGAGTATGGGTAGGAGCTATACCATCTCTCCCCCCAAATGCCTACATGGCATATAGTTTACTTTACTTTTGTGTAATATGCCTCTGTTTGGTGCAGTGTCAGCAGGTAGCCGTTTGAAGAGTGAACCAGTTAGTCCAACACCAGAACAGACTGTGAATGGCAGCAACATACCACAGCCTCCGTCTGAGCGAAGTGAAACTATTGGTTCTGACAGTGTCGAAGCATACCCACCACCCCCACCACCTGAAAACACGGTTCGAGATACAAGGTAATTTGTGTTCTCCCTATTTTAGGATTCTCATTCTGTTAAGGTATGTATCATCACTGGATTTGTTGATGTATGTGTGTTGGACATTATCCCAGGTATGTTTTAATATAAGCTAAAGTTGTTTCTGTTGTCATGCAGATGTATGGGGGAGTGGAGGTATAACTCTACACTTTCTTTATCTTGGCACTAGATGGAGACAAGAGGTCAGAGTTTGGACATTGTGGCAAAGTGAAAAATCTTGTCCTGCTGGGAATTGAATCTTGGTCCTCCAGCATGTAACCTAGTCACTTTGTGACTGAACTATCTTGATATGTATTGACTGAAAATTGTTGAATCTATTAATTGACAGAATTTTCAGTAGTGGGGAATAAGGTTTAAAAGGTGGAACAAAGAAGAAATGTGTAGCCAAACAAAACCAGACTAACTTGATGGTGCAGAATCCCATTTGAGAAATTAACATTTTCTTAGCTAATCAACAAATTCTCTGCCTTTTATAGGACTTGGAGGTTTGTTAACATGTTTACAAGATCATACCATTCAGGGTTATAGTTGAGCCAGGTTGATATGGAGGCAGAACTTAAATTCCATTCTCAGCCACTAATTTCTTGGAAGTCCAAAGCGTGTAATTTGTGGCTTTAAATTATTGTTGGATTTTCCTAATTGACAATTCTGGCACTTGCAGCTATTATAAACTTGACAAAAATAGAAATTAATTTTGCAGTTGGCAAACAACTATGGAATTTTCCAGACAAGATGCTTTGCAATTTGTTAGCCAGTGTTCTCATTTCAGAAGCTTTGTAGCTGAAGGTACCCCTTTTATATATTCAGTAAAAATTGATTTGAGTGTGTTTGTACAGTGGTTGTCGACGGGACAATGTGACCAAGGATCGAGAACGTCGGCATCGGGATGATGAGGGGAATGATCATAGTTCTCAGCATCAAAGGAGGCATACAGATGGCCGAGACTACTTCAGTTCTCGTGATAAAGACCAGGCTGAGTCCCCTGGTACCAGTAGGTACAGGGATCAAGAGGAGTGGGATTGGAAGTATGATGCCAGACATGAACGAGACAGGGATCGAGCAAGAGACAGAGATGATTCTTCAAATAGCGGTCGTTACAGGGATGACAGACGTTATGATTCTTGGAAAGAATACAGGAGCCATGATGGTAATCAAAGACCTCGGCAAAACACAAGGTAGAGGAATTACTTTCTTAGCTGTCATACAGATACGCATATTATGTAATGCCTTGAGCATTGTAATGGCTGGTAATTTACAGAAACAGTTTTAAATAACGTTCTAGGAGGGAATAGCAAAAACTGCTGTGTGTATTGTTGATAGGGAATCTGTGTAGTACCAGGACTTGTTCATTTTGCGTACCCAGCATTATGTACGTGGGGAGGTATTGTCATTGGCATTGCGTAGTGAGTGGTTATTTGCGGTAAGTGGTTGCCAAACACAGAAGAGGTGGACATAGATTGCTTTTGCATTATAAACCCATTTATGTTTCTCTTGCAACTGGACCAAAGGCAGGAAAAGAGTGGATTTGACCAAATAATTTTATATATAAGACAATTCTGAAAACAGAATTTAAAATTTGACTCAGTTATAAGTAATTATTGAAGGGATCATGAATTCTTCTGTCTGTCCAGAACCAAGTTTTTATCAGGAGTGCATAAACTTATTTCTGGCAGTCACTGGTGGGCTTCTGTGAACACAAGAATGCCCCTTAAAGTTCCATAAAAAAGCAGAGAATTTTCATACCCAGATGAGCAAATATCATATTTTCAAGGGAGACCTCAACCCTTGGAGTTTGTTAATTGTTTATATATAGGTATTTGCCTTTCGGCCACTGTGACATTTTAGTAAATGGTGTTCTGGTACATTTGCCACAATTTGACCTCTGAGAATGGCTGGTTATTCACCAGTCAGGAGTTTTATGACTTTTGACCTGTATGTATGACCAGGGAATTCCCTGGCTTTGTATTCTCCACCTAGTCACTTCAGAGCACAGAAATGCAAACAGGTCTCCATGCTAAGTCCTTCTTATTTTTGACTCATTTTTACCAAAATTTGAATGCAGAACTTCCTAATATATTTAATTTACACTGATGGATGGGTAGAGTGATTTAAATGGGCACTCAATAAAGTTGCAGTTACTCCTAAAATTTACATCTCTAGCTGTTACAAATAGTTTGGTCAAGTTCTGACAGATGGAAAAACATTGCCAGTTTTTTCATTGCTTGCAGTCAACAAGCATGTGTCGACTACCATTTCTAGCCATCTCTACTTTCATTCATCCATTTGTCCATTCACTTAGCCTTCTATGTTTTTGTGTCTTTACATGTCTTTACAGATGTTGGTCCAAAGATTTTTGATGATTTTCTGTTATTAAATTGATACATTGACACATTTTTGCTTAAAAATACATTTCAAAAGCTGTCTGGCTCCACTTCCAACATAAGCAGAAATATGAACTGTACTGTGTTAGGTCTGCTAGTTGGAGGTCTGAGGATAGAGAATAAAGCCAGTGTACCCAACAGTGTGGGATTTATATTTTTACCCGATGATGGAAGCAGAAGCAACTTCCAAAACACTATGTTTTTTAACCAAAAATGGAACTTTGGAAAATGTGCAGTTTTCATTCATAGTAGATGTTTGTTTGCTAATTAAATATATTAATATAACAGAGTTTAATGCATTATGTTATATAATTTTCTCTTGCCAGTTATGATAGGCACGAAAATGATGCAGATACGGAGGATTATTTTAGTGATTGTGATCGTGAGAATACCAGATATCGTGATAATTATGACAGCCGATACAGAGATCGACCTGACAGAGAAAGAGAGCAACGTGAGAACATGGAAAAAAGCTCTAGACAAAGGCATGATCATAGGTAAGCATGATGGAAGAAGATTGTTGAGAAACTTGTGTAATGAAATGTATGTCACCAGGTGACTGTTACGATGTGTGTTGCTGAATGTGTTAGTAAATCTTGTGATTTAAAAAATGTAGATGCCATTTTTGTTAAAGACATGATAATGTTCTGATACAAAGTGTTACATATTAGACAATCTTTTTTGGGAGGAATCCTCAGAATGTCAATTATTTGTTTACACTCAGAACTTTTAGCACTGAGGTTTTGGTGATGGATTTTGGAAAATCGAGGGACTTTATGTTACTTGTGTTTGGTCAGAATTAGTTAAATCTGTGTTATAGACTTAATATTTGTGTAACTGTTGTGCTGTGTTCTTGTGAAATAATCTAAAGTAAAAAAGAAATGCTTTTATTTGCAATTATAATACTGGTATAAAATATTCTGCAAACAAGTATTTACAGTTGATCTCAGGGTAAGTAAATATTGGAAAGAATTTTAAAATATTAATAGTTACAGGGAATTATGGAATGGCATCGTTTATATTGAAGTGACTCTGGAGAGTCTGATAGGACAATGGCTGCCTTTTGTGATGACAGTAATGAAAGTTTTTATTCTGTAATAACAGACAAGCATAAGTAATTTTTGCTGTGAGTAGGATATGCGATGGATTGGGGCAAGTACCTTCTTGGTGGTTTCTTGCACCTGTGCCAATGAAGGATCAGGAGGGATAGAATACAATGGTATGTTTGTAAGTTGTGAAGGTGAATAAGATGTGTGTGTGGTTGGACTATCTGGAGACTAATGCATTCTGTATCCTTTCCTGATTTCACTTCATACCAAATATTGCAGTTGAGTGGTTACTCCTCCTACTTCATATTCAGATCACAGTTTCAAATCTGAGCCCATGGATCAGCTGTGAGGTGTTTTGTTGGTTCCCTTAGTCCTTTGATGCAGATGCTGGGGTAGTGCCCTGCATTAGTCCATGACTGCTTCCTTCCATATTCTTTCCAATGCTTTATCCATTAATCACTCCATCATTCAGTGGTGAGCAGTATTATTAAATGAACCATAAATAAATAAATAAATAAATGTGCGGAACGAGGTTATTATGGCAATGAAGATGACGCCTTGAAGATGAAGACAATATATTTATCCAAAAGGATGGTGTCTACCTATGAGTCCACATGGTGTCACAACCCAGATCATCATTGTCATTGTCAAATAAATTTCACTTCACTGAAAATCGTTCATTTAGGTACAGAAGTTTGTTTTGATGTTGTGATAAACATGTAATATTTTATAAAAAATAGTATATAGCAGCTGTTTGACGTTTTGGGTGTTGCCACTGGATGCTAGTTTATCTCTTTTTAAGGACTGCTGGGAGGGATCGTAATCGAGACCGTGACGAAGATCATGATAGAGGACAGAATCGGGATAGAGAAAGACGAAGGCAAGACTATTCTGACAGACGTGATTATAGGGGATCAGATGAATACTACAGTAGGGGTTATGAGGTTAACCCTTACTATCGAGATAATCAGAGGTGGGTTGATAGTGCATGCTTTTACCATACATGGTCAATTTAGTTATATGTCACAACTCTGTTGTAGCTTAATTTTTAGTTTTGCTTTCCATTATAAGTAGAGATGGGTCTATGTACTTATTCTGTTATTTATTAGGACCATCTACACAGCTGTTTGTTTCTTCAATTCTAAAGGGTTTTGACAGTGTTTACTTAACTGTTGTAAAATTTTTATTTTCTTGTGTGGGATACTAAGTGATGAATCATGGTGAACTTACTAAACTTTTTGGTTATGCGTGATAACTTCAATTAATGGGAATCTGTTTTAGTAGAAATTATAGTCTATATTTCATATACATTATCATGATTAAAGATTAATTCAAGATTTTGTGGTGGGGATAGGAAAGATCACATTATTAGCTGAGTGCCATTGATAAGCATTTTTCTTCTCTTCCTCACAACTAGTCTGAGACTAGTCAGGCCAAGCAGTATTGCTCTTTACCTCCTCTCCCTCATTTAAAATAATGCTAACCAAATTGTTCTGTCTTTACTATTCATGCTGTGAGTTGGTTACTGAATACTATGTGGCAGGTACCAAACAGTGTTATGTTACCAAGTCATGATCTCATGGATTTGGGAAATTTCAATTTCAGGATTAAAGGTTGGTCAGAAACCCTTGGTATAATGAAAAAGTATCAGTAATGTTTTTGCCCAGACTTGTATTTGACGTTTTTTTAATGCTTATCTCTCTTGTCTTACAGTGACTGACGTAACAGGCACTTCTTACCCCCTAAGTGTTGTTTTAATTTCTAATTTGCATAAACACCCTGATGTAACAGGCACTTCTTACCCCTTAAGTGTTGTTTTAATTTCTAATTTGCAGGTCCCGTCCCTCAAGTCGAACAGAATATGATGAATATCGTCAAAGAGATTACCATGGATATGGAGGTAAAGTACTGTAAGATGTAGATCACATAGTTCCACAGGGTTTAGATGTGTTATTTCTGGCCTTGTAAAACACATAATGTAAACAGCAGAAAGTTGTGGCATTACAAAACTGTAATATTAATACTTGGGTTTTTGAATATGTGTGTGTGTCTGTGTATCACATCAGAAGAAAATTAAGACTTATTTATGAGTGCATTTTGTCTGTTACTCTGCCTGTTAGGAGTGACACTATTTGAAGTCATAAATAATTATCATCCATTGGCATTTCTACCAGGGTCATACAGCCTTCTCCATTTTTTCCTGTCCTGGATTTCTTTCGTTCCCTATTTACTGTACTGTATGTAAAAATAATTTTTTTCTAGTGGTTTCCATTTTTGTGTCTTTCTTTTGTGATTTCAAAGCAAATGTAACTCTTTTTAGTACAAAGTGATCTGTGTAGAATGCTTTTTTTGTAGCAAGTATATAATGCATTAAGTCATTATGTAGCACTGTAGTAAAGTAAAGTGTAAACATTGATAAGTAGGACTGTATATTCATAAGACTGTCATAACATGTAAGCAATTTAATTATTTCAGCACAAATTATTTTACCCACATGCTCAACATTTACACACAAACTCCAGGCTCTGTAGCTTGCACTAATTTTGGATCTACAGAATTATCATACTAGGGCTCTCCATATAGTGATAAGTTGGTATAGTTTCTTACTCAAGATTTTAAAACGCAACCAACTCCCCCAAAGGTTGGTTGTGTTTAATTATGACATATAGAACTTGTACATTGTTGGGGTTGTTAACTAATTGGAGTGCTTATTTGATTTTGTCTTTTCGCTGATCATATAAAATTAATTTGTGGCATTTAAAGTAAATATCCAAAAATTATCATGTAACTTCAGAATAGTTATACATCTGATGTCTAAAAAGTAAAATATTTTGACTTTTATCTAGTGGCATGTCATAGCCATAGTAGGCCCCTGAATTATGTTGAGGAACCAAGAAATTCAATCTGGTGGCATGTCATAACCATCATGAATTATGTTGAGGAACCAAGAAATTCTTACAGAATTTTGCTTGAGAAATGTCTTGGTAGAAAGTCACTTGGAAGACTATGAGGGAAATGGGAGAGAGTTCAACAGTGGTTATTAGATAACATATTTATAGTTTTGGAACACTTGTTTGGTTGACAATTATACAAATTTAATTTGAAATTGTTTCTTTCTTTTATGACTAGCCTACAATTATTTTGGGAGGCAGATGGATTCTTACCACTATGATCCTTACTATACTTACAAGTATTATGAAAATTTGCGTCGAACTAATCCCGCGGCATATGCAGAGTGGTATGCTAAATACTATTCATCACACTCAAATTACAATCAAGGATCCTTCTCAGAAGACCGTGGTAGTGTCCATTCTGGCAGGAGTTCTGCAAATGAAGAGTTACGTAAGGAACAGTGAGTGTTGCCTGTAAATGCATGTTATTATTTTCAGAGCACAGGTTATAAACTGTGAAATTAATTGAGAAACTATGCAGAATTACCCTAATGGTAAAAAATTATGTTAGTACATTTAGAGAATATTACTGAATTTTGTTTAACATGTGTTATTATGTTTGTCAAATTAGAAGTAACTGGACTAGCTGTTAGTGCATTGCTCCAGTGCTGCAAAATAGGATGTATGTAAATTGATTTTTGGAAGAGGAATTAGGTCATACCAAAGAAAAGACATTGAAATGAGTTAATGTGGGCCCTTTCTCTGGTAAGGTTCTCAGCTGTTTTGTTTTTACCTTGTGAATGGTCCTGTATTATGAAACTTTCTTTATTCCTGAAGCTCCTAGCAGCCTCCTGTCATAGTTCTTAACCATTTTTCCAAAATATTTTAAGTTATATTTTTGGAGGATTTGGTATCATTTTGATCTGCAGTCTGGTGAAGAGAGATGAACTCTTTTTTTTGATTTGCTCTTAGACCAACTTCCTTTGATATTGCATTGGGATGGAATATTTTAAACTTAAGTCAAAACAACAATAACATTTTAGTATGTTCAGTGACCAAAACCTTTCAGATTTACTGTACACATCTTTTTTATATGTGGCAAGGAGTTAACATTATACTGTGTTAGGAAGTTATAAAATATGGTGGGTTATTTCAGTGAACTTTACAGTTATCCTCCTATTGCAGATATGAAATAACAAGACGTTGTCACTCTCATGATCATTACCACTCTTCGTCTTTTACTGGCGATTATGACAGTGGGAGGTGAGATTAGTATCTCAGCATGATGCACAGTTTTTAGTTTGTATATTTTTTTTAGATATTTCTTGCTTTTCTGTATGGAGGTTGCTTTGTATTCTTTGTAAGCTTGTTCTACATTAAGCCCATGGTTTAAACTTTAACTAACTGTCCATATTCCGTGGATACTGAGCAAGTCTGTCAGATTATAGACTGACCCGGAAGTGGTATGGATTTACAAGTGGAAAGGTTCACACATTTCATTTTTCAGTTTGCCTCAGGATAGCACTTGAACTCAATAAGAGGAAGGAGATGTATGCATGTAAATAAGGCATTTGTCTAGTTCTCAGAAGTCATCTGATATGAATGACTTCAACTAGGTTATTTTATAAGCACAAGTAATTCAAATAAAATATATACACATTATTTATTGATGCATGAAGAGATATTGAAATAGAATTGTAGGAAGCTTTGTTTGAAGAGTTCTAAAACTTGAGATTTTGTGTATTTTTTCTTTATTCCTGTTTTTGAGACTGAATTTGATTAATGATTAATTGTTGTTTGGATGAGTGCTCAGTGATCATCTATTTCACTAATAGGGAGCCATTGACATAGATATCTTTCATGTTTGATGCTAGCAGTAGCTGAACTTGATATTCCTTCAGTATTCACCCTTGATATTTTGACTTGTTTTTAGCCTCCTTTAGATTTGCTGTCATAATTACAGCTTTCTTCACTGTAATTATGTTGCTGTAACTAACATATCCTCTGGTCTGATGTTTAAGAGCCATGTTCAAGATGTTATATTTTGAACAATTTAGTTATTTAAGTGGCTAATTCAACTAACTTGTCTTCAGATCTGTTATCTAGCACATCTGTTTTACTTGTTAATAAGTTTGAAGCCTCTCGTTTAGTATCCAGTAAAGTGCTAAACTCCGTAGTAGGGTTGCTACATTGTGGGCTTCCGGATAGGCTTTTTATGTCAGTAACTGGGCCGTCGTTAGATTAAACTAGTTATACTGTTGGAAGTTGGGGTTATTGGGGACTTTTGACTTGAAACAAGAGTTTGCTGAGGAGAACTCAGAATAGTTGGAGATAATTTGAAGTTGGTGATAAATCCCGTGTTCTTGTTACAATTGAATGTTTATTTTGTAATATTTATAAGGCTCCCCTACACATGTATGTTTAATGTTAAACATAGATAAGTTTGATGTAAGACACTGCTTGCTCACTGGTTGCTCTGTTTCAGTAGTTTTTTTATTTTGCTAGTAGATAATTTTATAAAAATATATTTTGACAAATTGGCTCTATTGTACTTGGAGTTGTGTTAGTTGTACATTTGCACACTTTTACAAAGGTTATATTGTGTGATGTCTTTTTGTTATACCATGCCATGTTATGGTGGAGTTGCTAGATGGTAATGAGATTCCTGAACGAACAGTGATATTGAAACAGTTTCAGTGTGTTTTCTATGTACATTTTGTTGAAGCTAAAGAAGAGTTTTTCTTTTCCTTCTGCTCTTTCCAGTATTAAATTGAAGTTTGTATTGTAATTAATTTTGTTCATTTTGCACATTCCACCAAAAACCTACAGAGGAATCAATGTAGTACAAACTCTGAAATTATTTTATTCCAGTTAATAGTTTGAGTAAAACTGCAAGTGTAAAGTAGTGTATGCTATGTAGACAGTTTGACTCTCTGCATCCATGTCACATTGTGATTAAATTCTAATGCATATCATTTTGTCAGGAAACTTGTTGAATATCTGAGGTTCGTCCAGATATAGTGTTCATTGCAAGATAAGCACCTCTCTCTTTGTAGTGTTTATGCACTAATGCACATGTATTATAGCTATTGTAATTTATTCTGCAGAGGTCTAGAACAAACAGATTCATCTATCATAGAAGATCCCACTGCTACAACTCCACAGAGACTTACACCAGCCAAATTTTCTACAGCACATGTTAAAGGTAAGAACATAGCAAGATTTTTTATGACCATGATACTTGGTCATAATTCAGTGGATTTGTTTAGGTGTTACACAGCAGCAGAAAAGTAAATTACAGGCGAACACTGGAAATAAATTAATGTATAATAAAATACACATTGCACAGTAAAATGCAATAAGGAGTATGGATTCTATGACAACAACGATAATAATTGCCAATGTTGACCTTGGTTGTAATGACATGTGGACTTGCAGGTAGATACCAGTGTTTCAGAGGAATATGCTACTATAAAATGCTCATGCTGCACTGCTGCTATTGAATTTCTCTCTATTGATACTATTATAAGTGGCTTAACTGTATGGTAATGAAGGATACTGAACTGACTCTTAGGGGTTTTTTTGTCCGTTGGTGTCAGTGTTTTATATCCCAGTTAAAATGTTGAGTTCCATTTAGTGATGGGGCACAAAGAATTGTAAAGACTTGTGATGTTATATGTGACCCAGCTGACTGGAGAGCACAGTTTCTTGCCATTTGTTTCAGTCGTTCAGTGCTGTGTGTGTTACACAAATATAGAATTAAGCAGTGTATTTAAGAGAATTCCAATGAAACATTTAAAGTATGTACTCAGGTATGCAACGAATGGAACAACAGTGGTTAAACTGTTAAACTAAGATGTGGTCCTGTTCTATTTCTTATGACAGCTCATCGTAGTGGCACTTAAAATATCAAACTTTGCCCTAGTGTATCACTGTATACAGTCTGTCCACACATGCAGTCAACAGTGTGTTTTCATTTCCAGTGCAGCTTCTTCATTTTCTTTAGTAGTTTTCCTTTCAGATATTACTTGTTCTGTCCGATGTTTCATCAAGTATAACCAGATTAAGAGGTTTCTGTGGTGATATTTTATGTTTTAAACTTGTGTAACACACATTAAATTGCTGCATGTGTGAACACTTGGTTGTTGTTGCTGCTTTGAATTCTGTTCATATTTAGGATACTAATTTCTTCCTTTTCTTATCTTCTTCTGAAAATGAAAAACCAATAGCATTCTGTGTATTGGCAAAACAGTTTGATCGTAATAGTAACAAGGTTAACCATTTTTACTGTCTTCACAGTTTTTCAGTTCTGTGTGGTTCAGCATTATTTTTTGTTATAGGTATCCTCACAGCAAGAGGACAGGTTGTGAAAATATTGCCACATTATCCATTAGATGGTCAGCCAGCTACTGTGGAAATCCATGATATACGGAATTTGGTTGGTTCAGACGAAACTCTAAAGGAGCTGCAAAGTTTTCCAGGGCCACTTGTCAGGTAATGCACAGATTCATATAAAATGAGTGATTGATTGAAAGGTAATACTTACGGGGGTTTATGTAACATGATTTATTGAAAATTTACGTGATTAGCATTAATTTTTGCACCTTGTTACTCTGATATACTTGTAATATAAATTAAATTGTAAAGGAGTGTGATCAGCATGTTACTTACATTTAAAGAAACGTGTTTCAGTGTAACTTCTCACATTCTGCAAAAGTAGGTAAAATGAAAGTTGCATGTGTGATGGTATAAGGCATGCTTGCTTATTTAATAAATATATGAATGTTTTCCATATTTTTTTACAGTATATTTAAATTGTAATTAAACTGGAGAATAGTCACGAACATGGTTAAATGTTGAATAACAATTATGAATGCAGTTAAATATTGTTATACCATATTTATTTCAGTACCATGTCTACTTTCTTCCAAATTGTTTCATTTGAAAGTCAGGATGCAATTCATAATGGACTACTGCATTTCACTGAAATTTTATTTGGCATTGATGTAGTGGTGTTGAAACTGGCAACTGGCCACTTGTCTCTGCCTAGTCCCATGGTTGTTACATGTTGAGCCTTACCATCATATTCCCTGTGTGCTGCCATAATGTAGTGTTTGGGTATAGGGTAAAATGTATCTTTGTTGTTTCTTTCTTGGTTCTAATTATAGGTTTAAAAGTTTGAGAACGCTGTTTTTTGTGTGTCGGTCTGTTTTGAGTATTGTTGTCAGATAGCATTGTTTAACATATTAGGTTATCTTCATTAAGAGTAGTGGCATTTCTTGCAGGGGAGTTACACACAAGAACTCTGTAATAGCATTCTGCATTAGAAAATTGAAGAAAGCAGAGAGAGATCCTGAGGTGTTTGATCGTGAATCAGTTATGCTTTTGTGGAAATTGCTTATACTTCTTCTAAGACAGAATGGGGTAAGTAGTTCTCATAAGAGAAACACAAGAATATATATGGCATTATGTAGTTTTTTAAGCATTTTAGTGATTTCTGTGAAAAGCCCATGCTATTTAGGGTCGTTTTGATGCTGTATTTTTTAAATTACCTCTTAGAACCATTACAGGATGTCTGCTGTAGAATAGTGAGTGGTGATAATCAACACAGGATACTTAATTTTCATGTGGCAGATATTTTTTTGTGTTTATTATTGCAGCTATAGTAAAGGATTGTAATGTGCAACATTAAACACAGAACAAGTGTTAGTATATTCAGTCCATATTGTATTTTACATACAGAGAAAGTCTAATGCCGTGTGTGGTGTACTATTGTAAACATTTTGCATTCCAGACAGTTGTAGGAGCAGATATTGCTGAACTCCTGTTGTCAAACTCGAGTAGTCAGGAAACTCTTAACTTCAATGCTGCAACATCTCATGTACGTCAGGCGTCACCTGCTACATCACAGCATAGCAGTATCCATGATATGCAGGCAGAGGAACCAAATACATATCCAGCTTCTTATAAGTCAGAAGAAGAACTGACAGTAGAATTCAGAGAATATTTACTGTATGGTAACAAGAAGGAGGCTTTAGGTTTGTAGAGATTTCAGTTAAAAATGTTTACTTTCTAAAATGTATTAAAAACTTGCTTTTTAGTCTTTTAGATATTAGTGTTAATGTTAATGTTGTATTTATTGTTCCATATTTTCATTAATCATACATCATGTGAAGAGGTTGGGTTGTGATATTTGATAGATGGTTAAGAGATGGTGATATTGTGATGCATTTTCAGTCTACTTTCCTTATTTTATAAGGAGACAGAGGCTTGAGGTTTTGTCATCTTGATGTGCCATCCTTCCCCCCAGTTGCTTTTGAAGTAATAGATTCTAATTAAAACATGCTACTATAGCAGGAGCTCTAACTTTTTAAGATTTGAGCTGCATTCTCCTTTTGTCATGATATGTGGACTGCTGGATTATGAATGAGGTCAGTTGAAACATGATGACATTCTGTTAGAAATACTAATTTACTCTTAGAAACAGTTTCACATATTACTCAGAAATTTTCTCTGAAAAACCTGATGATTTCTTATGGTAACTATTTTTCAATAAACACTGTGAAGTTGCAAAAATGCATGTGGGCTACAGGTTGAGAAACCCTTTGCTAGAGGCTGCATCACAACTATCTGTTTCAGTTTTTTTTGTCATTAATGATACAGACATGGCAGCTGTACAGACTTTCATGCAATATTGGTATTTTGGTGAGTTGAAGGTATATGAGTTAATTATTGTAGGTATAGTTACTCTAATTCTTCTTTCCAACAGTTCGCTTAATTAATTTCTTTTTGAAGAAGAGCATCCTTACCACATTAATTATGTATTTTTACATGAAACAGACAAGTTAATTGAAAAGCACCAAACATTTTGTCTTGCTCTCCTCTTTACTTCTAAGTTTGTGACATTACATTTTGAATTTACTGCTTAACACATCTGTGTAATTAAGTACCACACCGTATAGTCATGTTTAGGAATAAATCTATAGCTCAACACACTCTTGTAGCAATAAGTTGAGTGAATGGTCAGATTCATACTCTTAGTGCTTTACCCTGGTATCTGTTAGGCAGGAGCTGGTGTGGACACAGCTAAGAAAGAAATTTGTACCTCTGCTGGGAATCAAAACTAAACTCCAATCATCCAGCATGCAGCCAGTCACTTTACTGATTTAATTATCCTGGCTCATCATCATGTTAGCACATTTTGAATTCAGACTAGATATTTTTGAAGATTGCAGTTTCAGTTGTGGTGCAGAAAAATCTAATTGTAACAGTTATGCTGAGTTTCAGGATTGTGCTTATGTGGTTTATTATTCTCTGCTTAAATGTAAGTTTCTGGTTTATGTTACTTAGTATTTCTGACTTGGATGCTGTGATTATGTCTCATAAACAAGAGTGTGTTTCAATATCAGTTTTTCTGTTTTGTAGAATGGGCCATGAAGCGTGGATTGTGGGGCCATGCTTTATTTCTAGCTTCAAAGATGGATCAGAGAACTTACGCCAGTGTAATGATGCGTTTTGCTAATGGACTTGCAATGAATGACCCATTGCAAACTTTATATCAGTTGATGTCAGGACGCCAACCTGCAGCAGTTACAGTATGTACTTTTTTTTTGTGAAGTTAGGTGTTCCTGATGTGAAATATTATGGCACATACAACTCCATTTACAAAGCACCTATTTTTGGCATCAGACTTGTTCTTCTTTGTCACTTTAACAAACATATCTGGTGGTATGTTTGTCCTCAGACACTCCCTCTAGTGTCTTAGCTTACATGACCAATTGCCTTTGTATTTCACTTGAGGAATACCATGTAACTGTTGTGTACTGCATTTTTCTAAACAATTACCTTTATAATTAGCACTAAATTGATATTGATTTTGTGTTGCATCTGCTGTATGTAGCCTAAAGTGTGGATCTTAGACACTTCTAGAAGCATTCATGAATAGAGTAAAGAAGGATTGAACAGGTGAATTTATCATGACTAATGAATTAGTCATGGTAATAAAACTTGTAACTGAACATGAATTTCCACTGTACAATTTTTAATTTTTAATTTTATAGTTCTAAATTGGATCTAGCTGCCATACATTTGTATTCTATTCACATTGCTGTGTATGGGGTATTTACCAAAAGTTCACATTGTGGACATGTTTGTGCTTCTCATTTTCTTCTGTGTCACATTTCAGTGCTGTGCTGATGATAAATGGGGAGACTGGAAGCCACATCTTGCCATGATCCTCTCAAACCCATCTCAAAGGCCAGAACTAGACCATAAAGCAGTTATTACTCTTGGAGATACTCTGGGTAAGTGTGGGACTGTAAAGTGTAAAGAGAGGTGAGGTCAACAGTCATCAAGACTGAATTGATCATCACAGGATATAATTTGGGGTAGTGCCATAAAAAGTAGTGTCAGTTTTATGACATATGTTTTAGTGACCAGCTAGGTAATCTTGCTTTGTTTAACCACATTGTTTTTAATTTAGGGAACGTTCATGTTTAAGATAACACAGAAAGGTGACCATATTGTTTTTAATTTAGGGAATGTTCATGTTTAAGATAACACAGAAAGGTTACAAACTTGTAGTGATATGCGTTGAGCATGTTCTACATTTCCAAGAATTGAGAGAATGCAAAACTAGACTTTTGAAGAAAGTGAATGATGTGTAAAAATTAGCACGGATTTTCAGCATTCTAAACAGTTCTGTTAATGTTATGTATATTTACTTGTATGATTGTTTCCAGCATGTAATTTTAATGACTGGTGATTGATTGAGTATGATAATTTTCAGGTGCATGTGCAGGGTAATTGAGAAAATACAGTGTTTTTAAAATATTGTTCACAAATCAATAGTCAGAAACATAGTAACATTGTGAAGTGTGAATCTTTGAGATTATGTGTGGCAGATTTAATATAGTTAGAATCTGTACATTAGTAGTAGTATTAGCAGCATGAACAACAGCAACAACAACAACAACAACAGTAAATAAAAGATTTCCGTTTCCATTAGAATTCAATCCTGTGACCACTTGCTCACAAGCCCAGCATGCTAACTAATTAAGTATGTAGTATTTGATTGTTGGATTATGCACTTATGTTACCTAAATGTAATGTAGACAACAGAAGATTTGTAGGACATGAAGTCTATACAGTTGGGCTATTTATGAGTTGCACCTAGAACTCTTTCTGAAATTTTCAAGTATAAATTAAAATGAATGTTTATACTACATTTTTTCTGTTGCAAACAGTAGGAAGATAATTCATTCGTGTGAAATGACATGTAATGACCAGTTTTATAAGGATGGTCTCCAGGCAAATACTTTCACAGTACCATAAATTAGGCCAGGATCATTTCCTTTATATCCTGTCCATAATTTGCTATCATTCCACCATTTTGCTTTATAAAATTGGAGTTCTTGTAAATGTCTTTGTAATGCATCAAATAAATGTAGAAGGTCTGCATTAATCTGTGTCTCTACTTCCAGTTTAAGGCATCAGAATCCATGTTTAATTTCCTTTGCTACCAGCTTATGAGTGTACTAAGTGAATTAAAACGTGTTGCTTTTAGGAACTCAGATTTTTTCTTGCAGAGTGCCTGGCACTGAATTTGGAGTATTAGGCCGGGCGCAAACAGAGCCACTAGCCACAGCCACAAGCTGCCGTCTGTATTTTGTATGCAGTTTTAATAGACTCAGCGCAGACACGGCGTTCGTAGTGGCCTTATCTCGCTACTTGTGGCTGCGTTCGACCGCCGTTTATCCAGCGCAAACGCAGCCACTCGTCAGCTCCTCGAAAAGTGTAGTAAAATGGCCGTGTTCGCTGCGAATTCGCAATGTTGGATGTACCCAAAAACGGCGCTGTCTTTGTCGTTGTTTATGTCGGCGACGTATTATTAGTATTGCGACCAATGCTTCCATATCGGAGTTCATTTTGCTACTGACGCGCGGTTGGGGAAAATGTCTGCATAAAGTGGCGACCACTAGTGGTCGTGTTTAGCTACAAGTGGCGGCCACTTGTGGTAATGTTTAGCCACAGGTAGCACCACAAGTGGCGGTGGCTAGTGGCTCCGTTTGCGCCCGGCCTTAGACTTGCTAATGATTTGAAAACATGTTACTGATATCTGTTGATAGTTCCACCTTTTGTTCTTCACATTAATAATAATACTATTTTCATTTTGATAATTTTTATTAAGTATCTTTCACTATTCTGAAATGTAATTAAACTGAACAAGTTTTTGACATTTCATAGGAGAACATGTCTTTCTCCTATAAATGACTTTAAGTTCACGTATGCATTCTGAGAGAAAGTCAAATTTTAAAAACATAAGGTAAAACAAATGTTTCTCATTTGAAATGTTGCAGGTGCTCGAGGATATCTGCATGCATCTCATTTTTGCTACTTGATGGCTCAGCTGGAGTTTGGCGTATTTAGCCATAAATCATCAAAAATAGTGTTGCTTGGATCGTCACACTTGAAGCCTTTCTTAGAGTTTGCTTCAAATGAAGCCATCCAAATGACTGAGGTTTACATATATGCATGCCAGTTGGCAGAATATGAATTTAATGTTCCACAGTTCCAGGTACTAGTTCATTATTTTACAAAACTGAAGTGGTTATGAAATTATCTTGGATTATTAATTTGTATAAAATGTCCAACATGACTTCCTACTCAATTATGATAATTACTGTAGCTTCATTGCTTGCTTTACAGGCCTTCAAGTACTTGTATGCAAAGCGACTTGCAGAATTTGGAATGCCGGCTGAGGCAATCCATTATGTGGAAGTGATAGCTGGATCAATCTTACAGCAACCTACACGTTACAGTGCAAGTTTCATAAAGGAGGTTTATGAGCTAGGAAATCAACTCAAATACCATGATCCATTGTACAGTAATGGTGAAGGAGAAGTGGGAGAGTTGGAAGATCCATCATGGTTACATGGTTTGCACAATGTTATTCACAATTATAATGTAAGTACATCACATTAATTCACGCTATATAAAGTGTTTTAACATTTTAACCTTTAGGTAGATGTTGTTTCTTTGTGCAGACATATGATATAACTTTTAAATAAGAATGTGCAATCTGAAAGTATGTATAATCTTAATGTGAATAGCCCAATAATGAATATCACGAATTTTATCACTGTTCCTCTGTGCCTCACTTTTAATTCATTCTGGCTAGGGTTCTGTCTGTTCATGTAAAAATCTTAATTGCCCTTTTTTTTAAGTTTTCTAGTTTAGTGTCATTTTGTTCAGGAATTTTAGAGTTATTTGCGATTCTAATTTAGAACTTTGTACCCTTGATAGATTGGTAT